TTCACTGAATTCAGTGGCTAAATTTCTATTTGTGGATAGAATGCTGGCGGGAGGCATTCTGTCAGACAGGTGACTGTCTCTTGTTCACAGATACTCTGTATTTTCATTGGCTTATGAGTCATTTATGTATTATATTAAGAAATATTTATTCTGGCTGGATAGTGGCACAGGGGAAGGGCATGATGGTCTGCAAGTTCAGCCCACATGAAAAGGTTCTAGGTTGGGGTCTGGAGGCTTTCCTAAGTGCACCAGGCACCAGGGCTGGCCGAAGCTGGGAGTGGGTCAGAGCATCAGGGCCCTGTTGAGGGTGCCTGCATTTCTCTCTCTCTCTCTCTATCTCTCTCTCTCTGTCTTTCTCTCTCCTCTCTCACACTTGTGGAAGAAATAACTAACTAAACTTCTAAAAAGAAATATTGCAAATTACGCTGTCCATGAGCGGTTTGGTCCCAAGGGATCTGCAAGCACAAATAGAAAATTACCGTCAGTGTGATGAGTGCTGTTTTTAAAGTTTGAGTTGAGTTTACATGCGCAAAACAGAAATGACATCTCTATGAGCTGTGGGAGTGTTTCCAGAGGATTTAGAGAGAAAGTGCCACAATACATGGTTTTAAAAAGATGAGAAGGAGCTAACTATGGAAATAGCAAAGAATGTTTTACTACATGGAATTTAGCTTATTTGATATGGAAAACAGTGCTGTCAGCTTTGTTCAGGGACACTGTGTTGAGTCCCTCCTGGACACTGTGCACTGACTGCTTGACGTGCCCAGAGTATACTCATCATGTCTTAGTTGCCCACGGATGGTGAGTGGAGACTCCTATTATACCTGTAGGGTGCACAGAAATACATTATTGGTGGTGTGCTGAAAATATATGCCAGTAACCTTGATTTTCCTTTTTCAAAAACAGGATTTGAAAGAGAACTTTTCAACCATGTAAGGTAAGTAATATAATAACAACTGCTATCACAATTTGTGGTGTAAGAATTTTGAGTCCTGTGCCTGATAATATCTCTTCTGAAATAGGCAGGCAACCATTGCCACTAACCAAGTATGTCTCTTCTAATGGATAGGAGAGAACTGAGGTATCCTGTACCATAGCCAGCGTAATGGCAACTGTTGTTCAACCAAAAAATACAAAATCTAAATGTATCACAATAAATTAAATTTATAAAAGAGCTCAGTATCAGAGGGTTTATTCCAAGAGTCCCGTAACCCATTTTGTAATGATATCATGAGATGGGTGCACACAGACATATATGTACATGCCCAGCATAAATTTTAAGCTGCTGGTCCAGAACTCAAACCATGGTGGACTGGTTTGAGTACATCCAGTAATGTAACCATTACGCTATCTGCTGGTCCCTAGGTCTTTATTTTTTTTGATTCATTCAATAATTCCTACCTTTTTAAATTTTATTATTATTATTTGTTATTATTTATACCTTCTGTCATTATACATCATTTAGTTTGTAAAGAGATTTTTACCCAGCATGATATATACCACACAGCAGACAAGTTGAGAATACTATACACGACATCATCAACAGGTGACAAACTTTGTGTCCCACAAATGTCTTACTTCTCCATTTTCCCCCAAATTTCCCTTCCTGCACTCTTCTCCTCTCCTGCTCTCCTTCCACTTTGTCCCCAGTGTCCGTAACAATTTTCAATGCTTTTTTGACCTCCAGTATTTCACTCTCTACCATAGAATGTAGATAGTCAGTATAGGTGAAGTGGAGTCATACAATGTCTCTGTTTCATAGCCTCACTTGCTTCACTCAGCAGTTAATCTTACATGTTTATCCAATTTCTATCAAATTCCAGGGGTTTGTGTTGTATGGCTGAATAGTATTCCATGGAGCATATGTGCCACACTTTTTCAATCCATTCTTCTATTTGTAGACTTTTGGGTTGGTTCCACGTCTTAGCAATCGTGAATAATGCCCCAATAAATATAGTGTGGGACCAGCAGTTGGCATAATGGCTGTGTTGCTGGACTCCCACATAGTCGGCCACAATTCGAGTCTCGGACCTGGTGGCTTAAACTCACACTGGGCACGTGTGCATGCGTGCCCAAGATCCCAAGAGGAGAATAGAGGATAAGGGATTGCGGTGCGGCCATCTCCCCTGGGAGGGGGGGTGATTTCTTGCTTTTTGTCTCTGTCTCTCTCCATCTTTCTGGTGAGCACACACACCCTATAGCAAAAACCTCTCAAAAAATATATATATATATATAGTTGTGCAAGTCCTTTTCCGACTGATCGTTCTCCTGTCCTTTGGGTAGATACCCAGGTGTGGAATTGCTGGAACATATGATAGTTCTATTTGAAGGTCTTCGAGGAACTTCCATATTGTTCTCCACAGTGGCTGGACCAGTTTATTGGGGTAGGCAAAGATGTTTTAAGCAAGACCCCCAAAGCGCAGGCAATAATCCCCAAAATAGACAGATGGGATTACAACAGATTAAGAAATTTTGGCACAGCAAAGAACATAGTAATTAGTGTGAATCTACAACCCTCAGAATGGGAGAGAATTTTTGATAATTCTTACCTTTTAATTAAAGTTTTTAGTCTATTCATATATGATATAATTATTGATATGGTTACTTTTACTCTATCATTTAATTTTTTTGTTTACTATTTCTCTTGCGCTTTGATTGTCTGACCTGTTTTTCTCCCCTTGGGGGATAACTTGAATATTTGATAGTTTTTACTTTCATTTCTCTCTTGGCTTCTAATCTGATCTTGCTTACCTATAATTACAGTTGTTGCCATAGAGATTACAATGTATTTTACTAACTTATAAAAATACTTTTAAATATTTGTTGTTCATTTAATGATATTAAAGAATTACTAATTGTTGTTTCAGATATATTAAATTTTGTCATGTTTTAAAGAGTCCTTATCTTGGAAAGAGACATTCTGAAATATTTACAAATTAAAAAAGGCCAGCACCTTAGGATAGCTTCATAATAGCATAGAATGGAGGCAGGTCAGGTTCTGAGAAGTTGGTGGTAAGATATGTACTGGGCTCACGGGAGATTCGTGGTACTGGTCTGTAAACTATTTCATATATTCAAAATTCTCCCTAATATAAAAGTGTAAAAACAGATTTAGCAAGGTCTGATTTCGCATTCCATCCCTCATTCCACCCATACTTCTGGCCAACTCCGAGTTGTCCCTGTGCCCCAGCTCTCAGCAAAAACACCACCAGGTGAATTCCAAAGTGGGATAAAAGCTTCAAAAAATGCCCAGCTGGCAGTGTAGGGTTCTTCAATGACTCAGCAGCTTCCAGTCCTTGAGCATATCACGAAGGATAATCTGGACTCGGCGTGCTCAGGCCCCGGACGCAGCCATGTCTGTGTTTGCATTTGAAGATGCTCTGTGGATATTAGTTCTCGGGCACCTTGCCCTGGCCTGCTACAGGACTGGGAGGCCCCAGGCATCTGGGAGCCCCACCTCATGCCCTAGGCTAGAGCCACCTGTCACCCAGCAGCTCCAGCTGACCTACTTCGGGAGTACAAAAGGGATCTTGCCAACAAAGTCATCTCCAGCCACGGGTCATGTCGTCCCTGCTGCCAGCTATTCCGGACTGTCATTAACTTTTCAGAGCTAATAATTACTTTAAGTATATAAAAATAGAATTATTTATGTAACAAGTTGAAAAATTAGGAAGCTTCAAATTTCATAAGAAAAATGAAAAATGTCTAAAATTCTGTTGGAGATCTATAAAACAGTCAAGGAGAAAAATATGCATTCTAAAAATGGTAAGAGTTTGTGGCATTTTTATTTAACCTTGCCACTCCCTTAATGTACCCCAGTGGCAATCTTGGTCTTTAAAGTAACATGTCAGTTCCAATTTCCTCCCTCGAACTGGAAAGATCAGAAAACGATCTTGCTTGTAATTATTTTGCACATCTGTTCTGCCCTGTCTAAAAGATACCAAAGCAATGACATGAGGCATTCATTTATGTTTAGACTCATTAAGTCCCAGCAATAGTCACTTCACATAAAAGCTTCAAGGTGAATAAAGATGTGCAGACACCTAACATAAGAAATTTAGAGTGGAGATATGCAATTTATCATCTAAGATCAAGAAGAGAAGCTTCTGGAAATTCGACTTTGGGAAATTAAAACAATCTAAAGTAGTCATACATAATGGATGAATCCTGAGCCTTCTTTTGGAAATGGGCAGAAACCAAAGGTTTGCTGTCCCAAATAGTATTACATTTCACAACTTTATATATGACCTTTCCCTGTAGACTGCATACGATATAGTCCCATATATACCTACCTTTCGCTTTGACTGACCAGGCTTAGTAATAATTGCTACTTCACCACTTCATTAATTACAGCACTTTTTCACAGTCTTTTTCAAACATGAATTTAGGAATTAAGTATATATTGTATTACTACTCAGAATATAAAATACTTAACTCATAATGTAAATATTTAAAAAGCAAAAAGTAGTTACCAATTCCAATTCTTGTCCATTTATTAATTGGTCATGTAAACTCAGCACAGGCATTAATGTCCACGTTGTCTACAGAAAGGCATGCTTTTCCAGAAACATATGAAATTCAGAATTCCCTTTCTTTATTTTTAATCTCCAGACTAGGAGATATGACACTGTTTGGAGTGTAGTAATGACATGCAAAATGCATTATCAGTTGTCATTATCTCTACCAGATTACAAGGGCTTTCTGTGTAAGTAGTGAGAGTTAATCATTGATTTTTAGTGACAGAAGCAAATGATTTTTATTAAAGACTTGACTATAGTGACTCCATCTTGTTTCATACTCTCCATTCCATGAACTTCTAACTATATCTACCCAATCAGAGACTTTACTTCTATCTCAGTACAATGAGTTAAACAGACAAGTGGGTGTACCTTCTGGTAGGTTCATCAATCATGACATTTTATCTTTATAAAAATTCCTCAAAGTATAAAGTACTACTATCATCATATAAATGTGAAAACTCAGATTTAACTTGTTTGTGTTGCCAGATTCCATTACACATGGTAAGAGCAAGAGCGATTCTAGAGACCAGCAGGTTGTGTAGTGGTTGAAGCACTAGATTCCCATATGAGAATGGTTCAAGTCCCAGACCTGGCAACTTGAAAATCACAACAAATAAATAGATTAATGCTTAATTAATGCTTTTTTTAATTTATAAAAGAGTGATTCCAGTGTGAGTGAGACATTTCATGTACAAAACTAGTTTAAGAGTTCTCATTTTAGTAAAAACTGTCATGCCCTTACAAGGACCTTCACAAGGGTCTGTGCAAGTAAGAGTCCCTCATACTATGACTATGAGCTCTATGGTAAAATTATAATCAGATAGGAGGGGAGCCAGTATGACTCCAAGTTTGCATTCCCAGCAGTGAAGGCTTACTGCATGAAGTACTCATTTTCCTAGTTATGGCACAACACAATAAAAGGTTGTATTTCTCAATAACTGGACAAATGATAAGTATTAGATTGGAGAGGAAAGGTATTTAAGGTAAAGGTCATGTGAAAAAATGAACAAGTGAGAATTTACTACACTTCTACTCTCTTCTTTGATCAGGTGGCTCATGGAGTCTGCTTGATGGCTGATTATGACCAACAAACCAAAGGAGGGCTTAAAGATACTTAGAAAAACCGCACAATGGAATGGGATGAAGAATTCTAGAGACATCCTAAACCATGGAGGTGAGCAGGATGAAAAATGGTTATGCAACATAGGCAAGACATAGCCTGATCTCTATGTTAGGTGGTGTCCACAAATGTAATATGCTGTTGCTAAAAAGAATGGACATGGATATTTTACTCAAAAGAGGCAAAGAGCATTGATTATTAGCAATCTGAAAGGTTGTATGTTGGTCTTACATCATGTAATGGAAAGTAACCGAAACTAAGTTATTACTTCTCAGTTAAAATTCTTTGTGTGTTAAAGGGAAGAAACATTTAACAAACTCTAGAATGTAAAATTTCCTATTGAAAATTATGTATGCGAGTATGTGATAATATCCTTGATTTGACTGCTCCCCCCGCCCCCCCCAAAAAAAAGAATTCTGTGGGCCTTTTTCCAGGGGATAAGATCAATAAAAAGAAAGATTAGTAACCATGCAAACAGAGTATAGAGAGGTCCATTTCTTTATTCATTCACTCATACAATCTTTTATTCATAGTATATTTACCGAGTGCCTATAGGTGCCAGGTTCTTTTTGATCCTGGAAATATGGCAGAGACCACAACAGTCCAAATCTCTATTTTGTCAAGATTATATTCTACATATTACAAGTTTCAAGAGCATGACTAGGTTAAAATACCTCAGATAAGTTGTTTCCTTATTTTTCACCCTAAGTAAGGAAAGAAGTTATTTATATAGGTTAGTAACCAAATATCATGTCATGCACATATATAAAATATCGATTCAAAATCCTGACAGAGGGGCCATCAGTAGTAGATGATAGTAGGCATTTCATCAAAGAAAATCAGTATCTCATAAAGATAGCAGCAGTCTAATGTTTACTATTAACAATAACCACAATGAGAATCAATTTAAGGGGCTGACAGGGGGTGTGATGGTTGAGAACACTGGACTCCCACATGGTTGACCGTGTTTCAAGTCCTGGACCTGGTAGTTTCCTTTCTCACTTTTTCTCTCTCTCTCTCTCCCCCTCTCTGGTCAAATTAAGCAAATAAATAAACAAATTTATTTATTTAATTAAGTAATTCTTTTTTAAAAAAGATAATTTAAATGTTCACTAGCAGATTAATGGATTTAAAAATGTGGTAGGTATATATGTACGTGTGTAAGTGGTGGTCTTTAAAAAGTTCATGGAAATGCATATTATGAAAAACACTGTGCATGGCTTTTGAAATTTCTAGCACCAAAATAAACTCATTTTTTAATTTCACTTTTCAACAATTTTTTTGGAGAAGTTTTCTGCACTTGCCAGGAAGACAGAGAGTGACAGACAGAAAGTGAGAAATTACCCACCAGGGGGGATGGTCACGCCACAATCCCTTCTCCTCCATTCTCTTCTTGGGATCTTGGGCACGCATGCACACGCCCCCAGCGTAAGCCACCAGGTCCAGGATTCAAACCACAGTCAACTACATGGGAGTCCAGCGACATAGCCATTACACTAACTGCTGATCCCGACAGCTGTACTGTTTTCTATTCCAAGTCTTGTCGCTCAAACCAGTAATGCCTCGCTTTGCTTTAGCTATTTCACTGAGCTTTCTGTCCTTTGCAACTAAGAGATTCTTAACACAGGTCTACTTGAGACTCTGGGAATACCTAGAGAAATGAGATTAATGAAGTTTGTAACAGGTTATTTTCCCACATTTGGGAATTGACAGATCAATAATTCTACTTATATCTTTTCTTTTCGCATTTAAAGTCATGTGTAATGGCTAACTTTAGGTGTCAACTTGACTGGATTAAGGACTACCTAGAGAACTGCTAAAGGATCATTTCTAAATGTATCTGTGACAGTGCTTCTGGAAAATACTGGCATGTGAGTTGATAGATTGAAAGAGAAAGAGCTATCCTCAATGAGGGCAGGTAACATCCAATCAGCTGGAGGCTCATGTACAACAAAAAGGTGATTTCCTCTTTCTCCTGGAGCTGCGATACACTCTACACTCTTCTCTTGTCCTTGGACCTCATAAATCCCATGGCAGAAGGGAAGAAGGTGGAAGTGAGCATGAGAGAGAGCTATAAAGGGCCTTTTTTTTTTTTTTT